ATTTTTTGCTATTGCAGCAGTTAGAGGTCCATCCGTGCTGGATATATAGGTTCGGGTCGCTAAAGACCCGAATGTAAGAATGATTGGTGAAACATTAATGCATTTAAGGGTTAAGTGAATGCTTGTTCCTTCAGGTTGGCTTTGGCAAGAGAGGACCTCTACTCTTTATTTTTGAAAAAAAGAAAAAGCTCAGTCATGTATAACAGGATCGGTTCCACACCTCACCATGCCTCTCGCTCACTCACCAAAACACCTTTTGGCGGTTGTTGAACCCATTCTTCAAAAATCAAATGTTTAAGAAATACACACTGTTTTGAATCATACAACAGAAACATGAAAAGGCCACTGGTCCAACATTAAAGTTAGTGCCTGTAAGCAGGGAGCACAAAACAAACTCCAACCATCCTACCAGTTTGCCTGTTTATGTGTGCATGTAGATCCCACTTTGTATATCTCTTGGGTGTCATCATGTGCTATCATTGAGCCTCTGGAACAGTTTCCCCTTAGGGAATTCTGGGTATTGTAGTTCCAATCCCGACGGGCACCCCAGAGGGCCTCTGAGAAATGAGCTGACAGTACGATCGAGCAGGAGACAGGCAAGAAGTTCCACGCTCTCCTCCAGGAATAGGGAGAGAGAGAGAGCAATAAACAGAGAGTGAGAAAGAGAAATGAGAGCATCCAGAAGAAGGATTAGACAAGGGAGTGGGTGTATCTTCTCTGCTGTGTAAGCTCCTGTTACCTGAGCCTAACTGCCTCATATAAACTAATGGTTTATTAGTTGTCTGCGAGTGCAAAATGAAATGCGAGACCTCAGAGTTGCAGTGTTTAACGTCCGATGTAATACATGCAAATCGCCTCCTCAAGCAGGCATGAACGTGGGAGTCAGACCTGAATGCTCAGTGGAGGATCCACATTGTGTGTGTGTGTGTGCATTTGTGTGTGTGTGTGCATTTGTGTGTATGTGTGCATTTGTGTGTCCATAAATACCCAGAACCATGAAAATAGGGAGAGAGAGTCAAGTGTGTGTGGGTGAATGTTTAACACCAGGCATCTCTACGCTCTGCAGCTTCAAATGTGTATGTGTGTTTGTGTGTGTCTTGAAAACACACAACTCCTGGATCTGATCCACAGGGACTCTGCATTGCAGTAAAGTGCATGAGTAGATCTGCAGTCAGTTGGGCATACACACTTGAGATACACATGGACACTCGAGCCATTAAAGGTCAATTAATGGAATTCAATGAGAGATCACACTGATTTTGATTATATGTTTAAAACTACGCATTATTGGTTTCACGATCAGTGGCCCAGAAACACAGAACAATTAACAACAACAACAACAACTAACTAAATGCTTCTACAATTGTGTGAATTTATGGCACTTGTAAAAGACCTGTAGTGCTTAGTCTCAAATTGTTTCTGTTAAATTTGAGCCACAGATGCTTATGTAGTCTACTTTGTCCTCTGCTTTGATTATGGTGTATAGGTATGCACATGATCTCATCACTATATTTAAATTCTATATTATTTGATGTAAAATAAAAGATAAATTGTAAAAATAAAATCCCTACTTTCAAATGCTAGGCATTACAACATATAATTATAATTATATCATATATAATTATATATTAAATCCAATTATATAGTGTTGTATATAACAATTATAATGTTGTAATGCCTAGCATTTGAAAGTAGGCATTTTACTTTTAGTGTTGTTTTTTTTTTTTTCCCCCAGAAGTAATATATAATTTTAATACTGGCCTTGTATGATTGATTGATTGATTGTCAGTTTCTATCATCTTGTCCTGTTCAATCTGTAAAAACATTATTCTCAGTGTGCTTTATTCTGGTTAAAAAAGGTTACTAACTAACTAACATAAATTGTGCATGTCCACATTATGTCTGTAAGGTTTTCTGTATTTAAACTCATGAAGTCATGAAGTGACAACCTCCCCTCATGTTTTCTCTGTCCCATCTCTTCAAATGCCACCCCGCATTCGGACTCCGGACTGAAATGGGTATTAGAGAGGAGCGGCACAGTACCAAATAGGGCTGGCAATGTGTGATGAGGTGGATCTGAAGTTAATGGTGCCATTAAATGCTGAACGCAGCTCTCTTCAATATACCCGTTTCGTCCTGTGTGCATACGCAAAGGTGTTTGTGCACAAAGAAAGGAAGGGGGCTATGAATGCTGCTAAGGTACGCCAACTAGGGCAGTCGCAATATCAGATTTTGACTGCATCATTACAAACTCGAATTATTCTTTATAATGATATTCTACTGTATAAAAAAATTGTCTCCAGGTTACATATGTAACCATGGTTCCCCGAAGGGAGCGAGACGCTGCGTCCGAAGACACTACGGGAACGCCCCGAGCGTGACCGTGCTCTGAATCACATGTGTAATCAGTCCAATGGAAGGGCGAGACATCATAGGCAGGTGACGTAGCGACCAGGAAGCTATAAAGGCACATGAGGTGGAACCGGCTTCAGCTTCAAGGAATGAAGCAAGCGCTCGCAGGGATGCCGGAAGTATGGCTCTGAGACGCAGCGTCTCGTTCCCTTCGGGGAACCATGGTTACATACGTAACCTGGAGACGTTCCCCTTCAGGAACTC